CCAGAGAGCCAGCAACAAAATAGAAACTAAAATTTTGCTACACCTGGAGACCTGTAGCCATGTCCATGCTAACTTAACATGCAGTTTTTTTAAGAAAACCATGACATGGATTTTGTTGCTCATCGTAAATAACACCAGCACACCCCAGAGAGCCAGCAACAAAATAGAAACTAAAATTCTGCTATATCTGGAGACCTGTAGCCATGTCCATGCTAACTTAACATGCAGTTTTTTTAGGAAAACCATGACATGGATTTTGTTGCTCATCGTAAATAACACCAGGACACCCCAGAGAGCCAGCAACAAAATAGAAACTAAGAATCTGCTACACCTGGAAACCTGTAGTCGACTACAAGTGTTCATGCTAACTTAGCGTGCACTTTTTTTAACAAGACAGTAGCACGAATTCTATTGCTCATCGTAAATAGCACCAGAACACCCCAGAGAGCCAGCAACAAAAAAGAAACTAAAATTCTGCTACACCTGGAGACCTGTAGCCATGTCCATGCTAACTTAACATGCAGTTTTTTGAAGAAAACCATGACATGGATTTTGTTGCTCATCGTAAATAACACCAGCACACCCCAGAGAGCCAGCAACAAAATAGAAACTAAAATTCTGCTATACCTGGAGACCTGTAGCCATGTCCATGCTAACTTAACATGCAGTTTTTTGAAGAAAACCATGACATGGATTTTGTTGCTCATCGTAAATAGCACCAGCACACCCCAGAGAGCCAGCAACAAAATAGAAACTAAAAATCTGCTACACCTGGAGACCTGTAGCCGTGTTCATGCTATCTTAACATTAACTTATTTTTTAATGAAAACGATGACATAGATTTTGTTGTTGGATGTGAAGTGTAAAATGTTTATACATTAAGTATAGTATAATATAGCATAATATAGTATAGCATTAGTATAGTGATAGTATAGCATTAAGTACTCTAAGCCATACTTTAGTAATGTATCATCAATCTCTCATGTATCATCCATATATGGTCGACCACCCATTAAGCTAAGCTTCATTATAAATTTACTTATTATATTCTGATTATTAAATATGTCTCCAACCTAAGAAGACGTTTATCTTTGGAACCTCTAAAACATACCACATTTGATGGCGACCCTGCTGAAGAGACCTGCTTTTCTGCCCTATTCTTCTACGTAAATCCAAGTATGTGTCAATCATCGCAGTCAAAAGAAAATATAATTATTGGACAAAATGCTGCTGGATCAGCTGCCAACCAAGCTTACATAGAAGAATTAAAATCCAGCATCGGAATATCTAACATTTTCATGGGAATTGTGGTGTTGATTGTATTGCTGGCGGCTAGCATCGGAGCTTATAAGGTTTACAAGCGATGCCACAGGCGATGGATTCAGGAAGAAGTTAATTCATTGGCACTACAACGAGCTACAAGAATGATTCGACGCGGCGGTTCTCAAAAATCATCGAACGAAGGAGGTGACTAAATGAAAAAAAAGTGTGTAAGTGCGTCCTTAAACTGTGATCCACGTAAGTGTTTAAACTGTGCATAATTATATTGGGCGCGTGTAAACTCGCGAATATGATACGCGCCGCCCGAGAAGGAAAGATGCGACATTCCATTCCCGCTCAAATTACACGATGTACTTAGATATCTTATTGTCAGTAATGTTACTATGTGCTATTTTAAGATTCGATGTTTATTATAATTATTAAGATTTAGTATGACAGATAAATTATGTTTAATATATAACTCTTTAATTGATATAAAGAAATACTTAATAAAATCGGGTAAAAAAAGATTTACGGGAAATATCATAGAAAATAAATTAAATGAGTGTGAAAAACTTTTATCAAGTAGCAGTTTAATTTTAGAAAATATAAAGTATAATGAAAAGTCGGATATAATTAATAAAGCTATTGAAATATATGAAAATATTAATGTAATATATTTAGAGATAAAAAAATTGTGTATTAAGTCAGAAAGTTATTTCACAAAAATGGATTTCGATTTAAAAACGGCTTGTAGTTTGTTGCCGGTTATGGACGGTGTAGAGGAGACTACGAAGAAATTAATTGATGGTATTGAAATGTATGCGGATATGCTTAAAGATTAAGATTTTCCTTTATTAATTAAATTTATTTTAAAAAGTAGACTCTCCGAAAACGCTAAAATGCGCATGTTGACAGACTATACTTCTGTTAAAGATATTGTTAAGGATATGAAAATTCACCTTTTAACTAAAAAATCATTTACGGCTATTCAAGCACGTCTTCAACAGACTACTCAAGGTTGGCTAGGCTAGGCTACACAGAATTAACAATATCTCAAGCAGACGGAAAGACTTCTAATTATAGCATTCTTAAGCCTTTGAACGAAAAGTCAGCAATTAAACAGTTTTCGGATGGTTTAAAAACTAGTAAATTAAGTACCATAATTGCAGCTAGAAACTACTCTTCTCTTAAAGATGCGATCCAAGCGGCAAAGGACGAGGAGATTTTCTTACCCTCGACCTCAACGAGCTCTGACGTTATGCACATAAAGAGATCCTCGGCTCGTGGTAAAAGAGGTTTTCAAGGTAGGTACAATAATTTTAAGAATAGGTATCCTACCACAATGGGACATAATCAACGTGATCATTGTAATAAAAAATATTTTTCACGTGGTAAGTATAATAACCGTGGAAATCAACGACATTATCAACATTCAAATGGCGGTCAATATTCTAGGGATACTAAACGTAGTAATAATAATCGCAATGTATTTCCCATAAATACAAATAATACAGTCAGCAAACCTATAAAAAAAGATGACGTAGATCAGTTAGCGGATCAGTTTTCTCGGATTTAAGGATTATATTTTTACTTTAAATAATAAACAAAAAATAGTTCTTTTTGAAATAAATAAATATAAATATTATTTTTTACTGGATACTGGTGCTTCGTTATCTGTTATAAGAAACGAAGTTCTACATAAAAATACTACGATTTATAAAAGTGAGACTGTAGTAAATGGAATAGGAGGTCAAGTAAAATCTCGAGGTCATGTGTATTTAACATTAAAAACAAAAGATGGTGAATCATTTCATCATAAATTTTATGTTTTTACCAATTTATCGTTAAAAGTAGATGGCATTATTGGATTAGATTTCCTAAGTAAGTTTAGATGTGATATATTTTTAAATTCTAATACTTTGAGTCTTCACTCTAATAGAAAACAATGTTTTATGCCAATTTATGAAATACCGGATTATACTACGGATTATTTGTTTATCCCTGCTCGAAGTGAGTCAATACACTATGTAGCTGTAGAATCAGGTTTGGAAGGTGATTGTGTGGTTTGCGCGAAAGAATTAAGTAAAGAATTGTTTTTAGGAAGTACGATTGTAAGAATAAAGGATGGCAAGATACCAATTAAAATTTTAAATACTAGTGAAAAGGATATAAAATTACCTATATTCATCCCTGAGGTTCATTCATTAGAGCATTATAATATTTGTAATTTTAATAAAACTGTAGCAAGCGTTAAAAGAGCCGATACTCTATCATCAATCTTAAAATTAGATCATTTAAATCCCGAAGAAAATAAATCTATTAGTACTATTTGTCGGAAATATGCAGATATTTTCCATTTACCAGGTGACCAACTGACAACGACAGACATTTATGAACAGACAATTACATTAAAGCCCTATACTAGTCCAGTCTATATAAAGCCATACAGGATTCCTCAATGCCTGAAACCTGAGGTTCAAAAGCAAATTGAAAGCATGCTAAAAGATGATATAATAGAAGAATCTAAAAGTGAATGGTCTAGTCCAATATTATTAGTTCCTAAAAAAAGTGACAAAACAGGGGAAAAAAAGTGGCGTTTAGTTTTAGACTATCAAAAACTAAATGAAAATATTCAAGATGATAAATTTCCACTTCCTAACATCACAGAAATTTTAGATTCACTTTCAGGTTCAATATATTTTTCCCATCTTGATTTAAATTCTGGATATTATCAAATTCCTCTTAACCCAGAACTACGTAAATACACTGCATTTTGTACTAATTTAGGCCAATATCAAATGAAACGACTTCCTATGGGTCTAAAAATTTCACCAAGTGCGTTTAGTAGAGTTATGTCGGTAGCTATGTCTGGGCTTACGTTTGAAAAGTGCTTCATATACCTAGACGATTTAATTGTTTTTGGCAGAAATTTAGAAATTCATAACAAACATTTGATTGATGTCTTTGAGAGACTTAGAAAAGTTAATTTAAAATTAAATCCAAGTAAATGCCAATTTCTAAAAAAAGAAATTTTATATCTTGGTCACGTAACTTCATCAGAAGGCATATTACCAGACCCTGAAAAAGTTTCAGTGTTGCAAAATTATCCCATTCCTAATATGCTGATGAAGTACGACGATTTGTTGCATTTTGTAATTATTATAGAAAATTTATACCCTCTTTTGCTAATATAACAATTCCTCTCAATAGACTTACTAGGACAAATTCTACATTTTTTTGGAGTAAGGAATGTCAAAATTCATTTAATATTCTTAAAGAAGCCATGATTTCTCCCCCTATACTTCAATACCCAGATTTTTCTCCGGAAAATGAGTTTATTCTTTAAACAGATGCATCAGGAATCGCTATTGGTGCAGTTTTGACTAATAAAGATTTGAAACCTATTGCGTACACAAGCAGACCTTTAAATGCATCAGAATTAAATTATCCAACAATAGAAAAGGAGCTTTTAGCTATAGTTTGGAGTGTAAAATACTTTAGACCGTACTTATATGGTAGGCATTTTGCTATTAAAACTGATCATAAACCATTAGTATATTTATTCGGAATGAAAGATCCATCTAGTCGGTTAATGAAATTTAGATTAACGTTAGAAGAGTATGATTTTAGAATCGAATATGTAAAAGGTAAAGAAAACGTAGGAGCAGATGCTTTGTCAAGAATATATATTACATCTAATGAATTAAAAGGCATAAATGAGCAAGTTATGGCTGTGTTAACAAGAAAGCAAAAGAAGGTAATAGAAAAGGTAAATGAGAATAGCATGGAAGAGGATACACCCTTCCTTAATAACTCTGGAGACGAAAGGCCTGATCAACCAAGAGTTGTAGAGTTATTAAGAAAGCCGTGTGGTTCAGTAGAAATGAAATTGATAGTAGGTTACGAATTAGATAAATTAAGAAAGGGAAACAGAATAAGTGATGAGTATGAATGTTTTTCTTATTGTCCTAGTAAAAAGATGATTTACATTAATCTCAACTTTAAGACGCAATTCTCGCGAGTCGAATTTGTGACAATGTTGAGTAATTTCTGTAAAAAGTTAAATATTGAAGAAATATGCATAATAAAAGATAAAAATAATAAAAGACTTATTAACGATTTAAATGATGAAATAAAGTCGATTAAGAAGTGGTCCGGACCACGGATTTGCATTTTAAAAAGTGTAACTAGGATTGATAACGATGAAGAAAAATCATTCATATTAAATGATTTTCATTTACTACCAACCAGTGGCCATGCTGGTGTCCGTAGGATGGTAAACAATATTAAAAGACGATTTTACTGGCCAGGTCTCGAAACTGATGTAAGAGAATTTGTTAGAAAATGTTCTAAATGCCAGAAATCTAAACATTGTAAATACGTTAAAGAACCCATGACTCTCTCGACAACTGCGTCATACGCGTTTGAAAAAATATTTATGGATATAGTGGGCCCGCTACCAAAATATTATGACGATAATGTATATATTTTAACAGTTCAATGTGAGTTAAGTAAGTTTATAGAAACTTATCCACTAAAAAACAAGGAATCAATTAGCGTAGCTAGAGCGTTAGTAAATAATTTTATTTTAAGATTCGGCATACCTAAAATAATAGCAACAGACAGAGGAACAGAGTTCACATCTTCCACCATAACCCAGGTATGTAAACTATTAAATATAGATAATATTACCTCAACAGCATGCCATCATCAATCCATCGGAGCATTGGAGAATGCTCATAAAAATTTAGGTTCATTCTTACGAATTCACTGCGACAAAGACAAACAATCTTGGTCTTATTGGCTACCATACTGGTGTTTTAGTTTTAATACCACAGTCCATACCGAAACAAAATACCAACCGTTTGAACTTGTATTTGGTAGGCAGTGCAATATTCCTAATAGATTGTCTAATACAATAGAACCTGTGTATAACCCAGAAAATTATAGTAGTGAACTTAAATATAGGTTGCAAGTTGCTTTTAAGGATGCCCGAAATAATTTATTAGAAAGTAAGCGTAGTCGTAAAATAAAATATGATAAGTATATTAATCCTATTAGTTATAATAAAGATGACTTAATTTTAGTAAAGTCAGAAACAGGTGGTAAGTTGGACGAACTGTTCAATGGACCATTTGTTGTATTAGAAGATATGGGACCAAATGTAAAAATAATTAAGGATAAGAAAATAGATATAGTGCATAAGAATCGAACAAAACGATTTATTAGGTAGTACATGTAATATAAAAAAAATATATTTATATATTAAAATATATTTTTTTTTCTTTCACCCCCGGAGGTGAAGTGTAAAATGTTTATACATTAAGTATAGTATAATATAGTATAGCATTAGTATAGTGATAGTATAGCATTAAGTACTGTAAGCCATACTTTAATAATGTATCATCAATCTCTCATGTATCATCCATATATGGTCGACCACCCATTAAGCTAAGCTTCATTATAAATTTACTTATTATATTCTGATTATTAAATATGTCTCCAACCTAAGAAGACGTTTATCTTTGGAACCTCTAAAACATACCACATAAGAGATGCAAATCACATCAGGACACCCCAGAGAGCCAGCAACAAAATAGATACTAAAAATCTGCTACACCTGGAGACCTGTAGCCGTGATCATGCTATCTTAACATGCCCTTTTTTATGAAAACGATGACATAGATTTTGTTGCTGGACGCAAATAACATCAGGACACCCCAGAGAGCCAGCAACAAAATATAAACTAAAAATCTGCTACACCTGGAGACCTGTAACCATATCCATGTTATCTTAACATGCAGTTTTTTTAACAAGACGATGGCATAGATTTTGTTGCTGGACGCAAAAAATATCAAGACAACCCAGAGAGCCAGCAACAAAATAGAAACTACAATTCTGCTACACCTGGAGACCTGTAGCCCTGTTCATGCTATCTTAACATGCCCTTTTTTTATGAAAACGGTGACATAGATTTTGTTGCTGGCTCTCTGGGATGTCTTGATGTTATATGCGTCTAGCAACAAAATCCATGCCACTTTCTATTTAAAAAAAGTGCATTTTAAGGTAGCAGGGACACTTGTAGTAAGCTACAGGTTTCCAGGTGTAGCAGATTTTTAGTTTCTATTTTGTTGCTGGCTCTCTGGGGTGTCCTGATGTGATTTGCGTCCAACAACAAAATCTTTGTCATCGTCTTCATAAAAAAAGGACATGTTAAGATAGCATGAACACGGCTACAGGTCTCCAGGTGTAGCAGATTTTTAGTTTCTATTTTGTTGCTGGCTCTCTGGGGTATCCTGGTGTTATTTACGATGAGCAACAAAATTCATGCCACCGTCTTGTTAAAAAAAGTGCACGTTAAGTTAGCATGAACACTTGTAGTCGGCTACAGGTTTCCAGGTGTAGCAGATTTTTAGTTTTTATTTTGTTGCTGGCTCTCTGGGATGTCTTGGTGCTATTTACGATGAGCAACAAAATCCATGCCCCCGTCTTGTTAAAAAAAGTAAACGTTAAATTAGCATGAACACTTGTAGTCGGCTACAGGTTTCCAGGTGTAGCAGATTTTTAGTTCATATTTTGTTGCTGGCTCTCTGGGGTGTTTTGATATTATTTGTGAATAGCAACAAAATCCATGTCAACGTTTTCATAGAAAAAGGGCATGTTAAGATAGAATGAATACGGCTACAGGTCTCCAGGTGTAGCAGATTTTTAGTTTTTATTTTGTTGCTGGCTCTCTGAGGTGTCTTGGTGCTATTTACGATGAGCAACAAAATCCATGCCACCGTCTTGTTAAAAAAGTGCATGTTAGGGTAGCATGGACATGGCTACAGGTCTCCAGGTGTAGCAGAATTTTAGTTCATATTTTGTTGCTGGTTCTCTGGGGTGTCCAGATATTATTTGCGTGCAGCAACAAAATCTATGTCATCGTTTTCATAAAAAATGTACATGTTAAGATAGCATGGATACCGCTACAGGTCTCCAGGTGTAGCAGATTTTTAATTTCTATATTGTTGCTGGCTCTCTGGGGTGTCCTGATGTTATTTGTAAATAGCAACAAAATCCATGCCACTATCTTTTTAAAAAAAGTGCATGTTAATGTAGCAGGGACACTTGTAGTAAGCTACAGGTCTCCAGGTGTAGCAGATTTTTAGTTTCTATTTTGTTGCTGGCTCTCTGGGGTGTGCTGGTGTTATTTACGATGAGCAACAAAATCCATGTCATGGTTTTCTTCAAAAAACTGCATGTTAAGTTAGCATGGACATGGCTACAGGTCTCCAGGTGTAGCAGAATTTTAGTTTCTTTTTTGTTGCTGGCTCTCTGGGGTGTCCTGGTGCTATTTACGATGAGCAACAAAATCCATGCTACCGTCTTGTTAAAAAAAGTGCACGCTAAGTTAGCATGAACACTTGTAGTCGACTACAGGTTTCCAGGTGTAGCAGATTTTTTGTTTCTATTTGGTTGCTGGCTCTCTGGGGGGTCCTGATGTTATTTGCATCCAGCAACAAAATCCATGCCATCGTCTTGTTAAAAAAACTGCATGGTAAGATAGCATGGATACGGCTACAGGTCTCCAGGTCTAGCCAATTCTAGGGATTTTTCAAATTTTTTTACACTATTTGTCAGCAACAAATTAGCAACAAATACTGATGTATAATTGCATTTAATCCATGCCGGTCCCGGTGAGTTTACTGCTAGCTTAACGTTAAGATAGCAGTAACTCTTTTCTTTCGAAGTCGGACAAAGCAACAAAATCGGGGTTTTAGCAACAAATTAGCCACAAAATACTGTATATGTTTCGAACGATTCTGCTAACCTTTCACTGCTATCTTAACACACCTCATAATTATAGTGTATTTACCTTATGTACTATTTTTGAAGCAGGCAGCTTAATCCAGGTTAATAATTGATTATCAACTTTAAATAAGACTGTTTTTTCAAAATCATCTTTTCAGTCGGTAATAATAGTAAAATATCTATAATAAAATAATGAAATTATTAGAATGTTGTCTCTTATATCTAATTTCATTAAAATAATAATACTTACTTTAAATTTGAACATAATCTTTGTTAAGACACGTTTGGCACTTTATTGCGTGGCAACTTTACAACCGCCCACATCGTGTGGTCCGTGCGTAATTAGACGGTCATCGATGTGAAGTGATTTGTATAATCTGTGAGTTCAATAGACAATATAGTGAAGTGACAGAACGTTAGCTATATTAGGCAGTGATTTTACATTAAAACCACTTATTCTTATTCTTACTCTTATTCCCATTGTTCTTGTCGTCATACTCAGTATTTTGTGGCTAATCAAATACAGTAATCCAAAAGACGACATCTTTTATTTCACAATCTCTTCGAATACAATAATTCGTTTCGACAAAAATGAGACGAACATATGGCGCCCGAACAGGGACTTCCAAGAAGACTTCCAAGAAGACTTCCAAGAAGACTTCCAAGCAATAAGCAATCCAGCACCAGAACACGTGGCCGTCATCTTATGCCGAGCAGTGACGCAGCGAAAACCGCACCTCGCAGCATGAAAAGATAAGTGCCCTATATCCATCCAATCCTAATTAATCCTAACCTTTTTCCAAATTATATTTCCCTATTTTTTAATAACCATGTTTCCCAATCCTATATCCTAATCAATCCTAATTCTCTTTAATCCATATTCATTTCTTCCTATTTCCATTTGTATTTCAAATTTAGCATTCCGCTTTTGCAAAATTTATAATTATTTTTTGTTTAATTTTTTATTGTCCTACTACATTAAACAAACATGTGTACATATATTCAATTTTTTTGTTAGAATTTCTTCATTTAATACAAATATATAAAAAAATTTTCAACTTAACCTCTAAATGTCCTTCATTAATACATTAAAATTAACATTTCACAACAACCTATTATAATGAAAACCACCAGAATATACTTCAAACGTATAATAATTATAGATTCACATATAAGCATTACACCACACTTAACACTACATATATCACTACTTTTACTAAAATTACACAACACAGTTTCAGCATAACTTCACCGTAACTCTTACTAAATTAGAATGAATCCCAATCATAAAAAGCACTCCTTATATAATAATTTTAATTTCAATCCACCCACCTTTTTAATAATTATAATGGAACTTCAACTACTTCCGGCGTAATCTCTAAATCATATTAAGCCATTTAAGTATTTAATTTATAAAAGCAAACTTAAAATATAAAATATAATTTCATTGAAACTTCAATTAATAACAATAAATATAGGTTAATTTGAATATATCGAACAATTTTGGCATTAAAATTAATAAATCACAACACTCGGCCATCGACATGCGTGCTATCTCCGGAGCACGCAAATCTCACAACACTCGGCATAAGGTAAGTTCATGATTTCCTATTTTAATTTTAAAAAATAGATTTATTATAAAGTACTCTCTATATAATGCAAATTGACAAGCAAAAAAATATATCATTATCTATAAATATTAATAAAACTTACAACTATACAACAAACACATGGTAATATTTAGTTTATTTTTATTTTACAGTATCACTGTCATCCGAGCTTGAGAAGCTGTATTCAGAACCAGAAGATTTGTCCAATCCTTCTATGTGATGCGACAACGCTTTCGTATGTTTTGGTATTGAAACCGAGAACATTTACAATTTCGTAACGGTGATTAACCAAGTATTTTGAAATTTTATATGGACAAATAAATTTTGGAATTAACTTCTAGTTTTTTAATATATCAGATTTTTTCATTATTCAGAGTATGATTGTGCGCGAACTCATTTTTTAAAAGTAACCCATTATTAATGTTCAAATAAATTATAATACATCATATATTTTTTTTATTTTTACCCTTTGCACCTAAGTAAAAATATTAATGAACAATAATATGAATATATATATATAGCTACGTATATACCTATATAGAAAGTTTCACACTTTACAATAGAGATGGCGCTTTTTAAGCATTACCAGCTTCGACGACGAGTTGTACCTCTATTTATATATGTAGCAGATATACTCTATGAAGTAACCTTACCTATAGTCTACCCTATCTTAATTTTCGAAACATCTACTGGTGTTAGCTGTCTAAATTGTCGTTATAGAATTGACAAGAGCGGATAAGGTGCCTATTTTAGAGATTATAGGTCCTGTTGTTAATGACGTAACGAATACTATTGCTTTACTGTAATATATTTTATAACAGCCCTAGTGTAAAAAGTATTCTCAAATTGGAGTCATTCTAACACCACCATTAAAAAGCCCCATCGTCTATTACTATTGTTACAGTAGGCACTTCTATAAAGTAAAGATCTGTCAGGTCATCGATGATCAAAAACATGAATTCTGCTTTGACTTCGTTAACCCTAATAATTAAGTTTACTTAAGTTTTAATTAATTGTATAATTACTAAAGCCCCTAATCGTAGGTAAATATTAATTACTTCCTTTAAGTTCCAGCACATTAGCAATAAAACATTTCATGATACTACAAATACTGAAATCTATAAATGCACTCAAATACTTAGTCATTAATTCATTGCACACAATAATAATTTTAATATACCTACTTTTTGATTTTGATGAAATTTTAACACAAACACTTAACTTATCTACTTATCTCGTGTAAGGAGGGGTTATCTAGAACAATCATCGAAGTTACAATTAAAACACGTCAAGTCATTTTGTCTATTTGTATCATCTGATAAAATTGACATTATTATTAATATGACCATTTCTAAAATCTCGTTTCATAAAGGTATTATTATTTATAAGAGAGGAATTTTTAAAACAAGTCATCTGGTTCACTACATTAAAACTCAACTTCCTTTCGTCTATCAATATCGCATGTACTTAATAATGAAAATTTATCATAAAAATATTCTGAAGTATTAAGAAAGTATTAAAAATATTTTGATTTAACATTTTTTTTTCTAGTAACCTCCCAAAAATTTCATCACTCGGGAATGCCTGCTATCCTGCCATTCTGGCCACGAGGTATTGAGCGTTGGTAAAGATTCATATCATCTTTTTGCTAAGCCACACATTTTTGTAGAGAATAATGAATAATTTGATTTTCGTACTATTTATAAATTAAGACACATTCGTTAACTTTCTTTAACCATCGCTTAACATCTGAGTCAAATTCTGGAACTACATTAATAGAGTTCCTAGTCTTACTTCGATTAATCTCGAAGCGCTGGAATAATTTTCATCAGGGTTTCGGTTATTAGGTTATCAGGTGGCAGTTTCATTTTAACTGGTACTTCAGCATCACCAGAGACCTCCTTCGACGCCGACTGGGCCTTCCTGAAGTAAATCTCTCTGCACCATCTCCGCCACCTGAAGAAATATTTTTTAACGCAGTAAAATCTCCTTTTACAATTGCATACTTTAAGCTCGTGGGATAGATCATAGACATTCAATTTTATAAAACTTCTAATCCAAATATTTTAATCTCAACTATAAACTCTTATCTCTAAAGAAAATATTTCAAATTAAGGGTATTTGTAACTCCAAAACAACTTTTTATGTAACACTAAAATAACGGCTATTAAAATTACATGTCAACTAAAGCACCTCACTTGCTGAACTGATGGCTATAATGCTTGCTACTACGGCACACCTACATGACCAATCTCTATAGTCCATATACATGGCATACCACAGCACACATGGCTGTATCATACAATCATTTACGTTATCAAGGCACACCTACATGGGTCATAACTGAAGCACTTATGCATGGTTATCATAGCACACCTACATGGCTAATGCATAGTTACCACAGCACACCTACATGGCTAACGCATAGTTACCATAGCACACCTACATGGCTAACGCATCGTTACCATAGCACACCTACATGGCTAACGCATGGTTACCATAGCACACCTACATGGCTAACGCATAGTTACCATAGCACACCTACATGGCTAACGCATCGTTACCATAGCACACCTACATGGCTAATGCATGGTTACCATAGCACACCTACATGGCTAATGCATGGTTACCATAGCACACCTACACGGCTAATGTATAGTTACCATAGCACACCTACATGGCTAATGCATGGTTACTATAGCACACCTACATGGCCAATTCAGAGCTACCATAGCACACCTACATGACTAATGCATGGCTACCACAGCACACCTACATGGCTGTATCATATAGTAATTTACGTTATCTAGGCACACCTAGATGGCTTATACTGAAGCACTTATGCGAGGCTATCATAGCACACATACATGGCTAATGCATGGTTAGCATAGCAGAACTACATGGCTAATGTATGGTTAGCAAAGCTCACCTACATGGCTAATGCATGTCTACCCTAGCACACCTACATGGCTGTATCATATAGTCATTTACGTTATCTACATGGCTCATAACTGAAGTACTTATGCAAGGCTATCATAGCACACATACATGGCTAATGCATGCTTAGCATAGCATATCTACATGGCTGTAACCTATTGCTTTTACAAGTCTCCTACATGGTTGATAATAGTAGCATACATACATGACTAATCTATATAATAAATCCTCAGTTCAACTACAAATTCTCAGCTTAAGCAATAAAGCTATTATAAATAGTGAATTGTGTCATTTGAAGTAAATAAATGAAATTAAGATTATTGTACTCACGTTCTATTCTCCCGGGCATGGCTCGTGGGTCATCCCACTTCTGATATATAATGAAAACCACCAGAATATACTTCAAACGTATAATAATTATAGATTCACATATAAGAATTACACCACACTTAACACTACATATATCACTGCTTTTACTAAAATTACACAACACAGTTTCAGCATAACTTCACCGTAACTCTTACTAAATTAGAATGAATCCCAATCATAAAAAGCACTCCTTATATAATAATTTTAATTTCAATCCACCCACCTTTTTAATAATTATAATGGAACTTCAACTACTTCCGGCGTAATCTCTAAATCATATTAAGCCATTTAAGTATTTAATTTATAAAAGCAAACTTAAAATATAAAATATAATTTTATTGAAACTTCAATTAATAACAATAAATATAGGTTAATTTGAATATATCGAACAATTTTGGCATTAAAATTAATAAATCACAACACTATATTATTCTAAATTTAACTTTCCTTATATTATATATATAAAACAAACTTAATATTTTATTATAGTAGATTTAGAGTCAACAGCATCAATTTCTGACATTAAAATACATTTAGTTGAAAACATAATTCAATTCTAAAGGCGATAATAAGCCTCAATCCATATATTTGTGCGATACTTAGACGATTTGGCCGACTATTTCAGCGTTGCGGTACATGAGGCGCACCACGTGGTCGGGGCTTCGCCATCTTGTCTTGCTGCGCCGCGCCAGTCTGCTATGTGTCGTTGATTGAGGAGCGTCAGATAAGACATTTGCATTATTTCATTTTATTTTATTTTCCTTTTGAGGTGTCTTGTAATTAAGTAACTTAAATTCAATTGTAGTTTACATAATTCATATTCATATACATATACAAATAACTCTAGTATTGTTCTAGTTCATACAGTTTTCTATTTTATAATTTTTGCTTACTATTACTGCATTACTATAATTACATAAAGTATTTTTTATCCATATTTTTCACAATGTCCGAACCTTCAGTATCAACTATGTACAAGGAGTCCGGGATAAAGGTTTTAATAGTAAAGCGCAGTTCTATAAAGGGACAAATTACTAAATTCAAAAATTATTTAGACAAGATTACAAGGCAATCTCAATTGGCGGGTATCGAAGTGGCTGAGCTTTCACTGAAGGTCAGTCGCTTTGAGAGTCTGTCCGCTAAATATGATGAGCTGCAAACTCAAATTGAATTAATAAATGCTGATACTTTAGACGAAGAGCTCGATGAACGTGAACGCATTGAGCAAGATATCATATTATGTACCGCGATGGCAAAAAAATTATTGAAGAACAAAATGAATTAAAGAATTTAGAACAGGATAAGAGACGCCGTGAGTCCTTATTCCAAGATGCTCATTGTGGTCGCGATCATAATAATGAAAATTCTATAACCTTGCCGCAAATACAAATTGCAAAATTTGATGGTTCATTCTTCCGTTGGTTAGAGTTTCGAGATACTTTCAATAATTTAATTCACAACAATAGCCGCATTTCATTAATTCAAAAGTTTCATTATTTAGTTTCTTGTTTGGAAGGCGATGCAGCTCGGGTAATTTCAAACATTGAGGTTTCCGCAGCCAACTATAACAGCGCTTATCAATTACTTTATGAACGTTACAATAATAAAAGGTTACTTGTAAATTATCACATTAAATCATTATTCAATATTGAGAAAATAAACCGCGAATCGGATACTTCATTACGCTCTTTAGTCGATCATGTTTCAAAAAATTTACGTGCTTTAGCTAACCTAGGTCAATCTACTGATCACTGGGACACGTTTATTATATATTTGGTTTCATCTAAACTCGATACGCAAACACTTGTTAAATGGGAAGAGCAACGCAATAGTTTAGGTGAAATTCCTAGTTTAACCGAATTTAATAAATTTTTAATTGATCGGGCTTATGTTCTTGAATGTACACGTCACAATAAGAATGATCAAGGTTCTAGTTTTCATAATAACAATAATAGAATTCAAAATTCAAAGCCTGTTAGTTATCATCATTATAATCAGCGTGATCGACCTATTTCAAAGTCATTTATTACTACAAATCCAAACGACAATAGCAGTTCGCGTAGGTGCATTGTCTGCAATCAAAATCATAGGATTTATGATTGCCAATTATTCAAATCCAAGTCCAGAAAGGATAAATTAAACGATATTTCAAAGCACAAATTATGTATTAATTGTCTAAGGCAGGGTCACTCTTTAGTCGAATGTCGATTAGGGCCATGCAAGATATGTAAGAAACAACACAATACTTTATTGCATCCAGCTGATACACCAAAGGTCAACAATGCCTCTGGTGATGTCTCTGAGACTTCAGCAAATTATTCAAACAAAAATTCAAATCAAGTTATTTTGTCTACTGCCCAAGTATACATTTTGAATCCAACGACTAATGAGCCTCTTAAAGTACGGGCCTTGTTGGACTCAGGCAGTCAGTCATCTTTCATTACAAAATCTCTTCAACAAAAACTTGCAATCAATTCAAATCCAATTTCTGTTAACGTCATTGGTATCGGTCACTCAGACAACCAAATCAAGGAAAGCTGTGTGATCCAATTAAAATCCATTTACAATAATTTTAAGACAAAATTAAATTGTCTTGTGCTTCATAGGCTGACTGGGAATCTGCCTAAGGCACCTATAAATATACAACAATTAAACATACCATCGCACTTGCATTTAGCAGACCCCGATTTCAATCAGCCAGCTCCTATTGATATACTAATAGGAGCCGATCTTTTCTGGCAACTCATGAAAAACGACCGTATTTCTTTAGGTGCAAACAAGCCTATGCTACAATATTCCAGTTGTGGTTGGTTAATTGGTGGTCCTATTTCTTATCAAGCTAAACAAGTACTTTGCCATAATTCAGTCATTAATGACAACTTCCCAAACGAAAACAAAATCGACAATTTACTAGCAAAATTTTGGGAGCTAGAAGAGTTTCCCCAAAAAACAATTCTAAGCGAAACAGAATTAGCCTGTGAGAACCACTTCCGGTCTCACACTTTACGGCTTCCTTCCGGCAGGTTTAGTGTCAAGCTTCCTGTGTGGTTTATGAAAACACCATTAATAATTTTTAAGGCTTTAATTCTTTACACTGTTAATTTCTTTTAACTGTTACTTATTATAATATATTATTTAATCCCCAGTGCCACGCCTAAGTCTAACCTACTATCTTCCTTCTGATTGGTTCCCGACCATCGCATGACAAAAGTCTTGGCGCCACCGAGCACAGATTAAATATAACTTTAATATAGCACACTTCCATTACGCGATTCTCTTGATTGTTTGTGTGAAACACATAACTTGGCAAAAAGGCGACTATTAAATTTAGAAAAACGTTTCAGAAAAAATACCTCATTAAAGTCTCAATATATTCAATTCATTAGAGAATACCAAGGCTTAGGCCATCTGTCGGAATCTACGGTTGCTTTACCAGATCCTTCTTATTTTCTGTGTCATCATGCTGTCTTTAAGGCATCCAGCGAATCGACTAAACTCAGGGTCGTATTTGATGGTTCCGCGTCCTCTTCTTCTGGCTTTTCAATCAATGATTTGCTAATGGTTGGACCTAACATCCAGGATTCTCTTTTCTCCATATTAATCCGAGCTAGAACATATAAATATTTGTTAACCGGGGATATAGAAAAAATGTATCGCCAAATAGAGGTCAGTCCAGATGACAGAAACTTACAGCTGATTTTGTGGAGAGAAGATGAATCTTTACCAATTAAAACAATGCAGTTGAACACTGTCACTTACGGAACAGCAAGTGCCAGCTATTTAAGTACACGGTGTCTATGGCAGATAGGAGAGGAATGCGACAATAGTTTTATTAAAAATATTATACAAAAGGATTTTTATGTCGATGACCTCATAACAGGTTCAAATGATAGCGAGGAACTAAATTATATTCAAATTTCAGTTGCACAAGAATTAGACAAAGGCTGTTTTAAATTACGTAAATACAAAAGTAATCTATGTTCTATTTTTGATAATTGTAATTTAAATTTGCAAGAAAATTTTATGTTAAGTGAGGCTTCGAGTACTCTAGGCTTAGGTTGGAATCCAAATAATGACATGTTAAATTTTCCAGTTAATATTCCTCCTTTGAGAAATACTATTACAAAAAGAAGCATCATGTCTGATGCATTCAAGATTTTTGACTCACTCGGTTTGTTGAGCCCATACATCATGCAGCCAAAACTTATGTTACAAAAATTATGGAAGCTTAAATCCGATTGGGATCAACCAGTACCGATAGACATTGAAAACGCTTGGAGGGATTTTTCTAGGGATTTGTTATTAATTTCTAATTTTCAAATTCCTAGATTCGTCCTTAGTGAGTCACCACAAATTATTGATATTCATTGTTTTAGTGATGCTTCTTTGGTTAGCTATGGTGCTTGTATCTATGCTAGGGTTACCTCTTCAAATAATCACATTGCAGTAAAGCTCCTGTGCTCAAAATCAAAGGTAGCCCCCTTAAAGCCTGTTTCAGTTCCTTGATTAGAATTATGCGCCGCCTTACTTTCAAGTCATTTAGGCAAAGCTGTTATAAATTCTATTAGATTCACTCCTTATTCTGTCACTTATTGGTCTGATTCTAGTGTTGTCCTGGGATGGCTCAGTAGTGACTCAACTAGACTAAAAACCTTTGTGGCTAATAGAGTAGGGAAAATTCAGGAAAATACCAAATTATCTGCTTGGCGCTATGTACCTACCGATCATAATCCTGCTGATTTAATTTCACGAGCTACTACTTTAATTCAGTTGCAAAATTCAACTTTGTGGTGGCACGGACCAACATTCTTGACTAAAGATCAGAATGAGTGGCCTGCTTTAAAGTTTTGTGACAACATTGATTTACCTGATGTGAAATTCACAGCTACGGTAATGATCACAGAACCTATTGAATTAATTGATTTTGAACGATTTTCTAACTTCAACAGATTACAAAGAACAATGGCATGTGTCCTTCGGTTTATAAACAATTTAAGAAATCTCAAGAATAGGTTCTCTGGTATACTAACTGTCGATGAACTAAATAAATCTTTTAAATCATTATGTTTAATAACTCAGCAACAAAGTTTTTCTGTAGAATACAAAATTTTACATAATAATAAGCAATTAAGTTCTAAATCTAAAATTTTAAATTTATCACCTTATATTGACGAGGATAATTTATTGCGAGTTGGCGGACGTCTAGATACTTCTAATTTTTCCTATGATAAAATTCATCCAATACTTTTACATTCCTCACATCATTTGTGTAAATTATTGTTTAGATATGAACATATTCGTAATATGCATGCCGGTCCTCAACTGCTGCTAGCTACAATTAGACAAACAGTATGGCCAATTAGGGGTAGACTATTAGCACGTTCTACCGTTCGTAATTGTGTGCGTTGTCGACGAGTACAGGGTAATACCTTATTGCCAAAAATTGGTAAATTGCCTTCACAACGCATTACTCCTGACTTTCCTTTTAAGTCCGTTGGAACTGATATGGCCGGACCATTCTATATTGTAAATCGTAAAGGCCGCGGGGCCAGATTAATGAAATGCTATCTATGTTTATTTATCTGCCTTCGTTTTAAATGAGAGCCTTACTTAGAGGCCGTTAGTGACCTCTCTAAAGATGCCTTCATTATGACTTTGCATAGGTTTGTTTCGCGCCGCGGTAGGCCAACGGAGATCTATTCCGATAACGGACGCAATTTTGTAGGAGCGGCAAGGGAACTTAGTAAATTCACCGCTATACAAAACATCGTGTTGACTGAGTTTACAGCTCAACAAAACATTAAATTTAACTTCACTCCGTCTTACGCTCCTCACTTCGGCGGCATATGGGAGGCCGGTGTAAAATCGGCAAAATATCACATTAGACGGGTCATGGGGAACTCTCATTTAACTTTCGAAGAAATTTTAACTTTGTTTGCACAAGTGGAAGCTATTTTGAATAGTCGTCCCTTGTGTCCATTATCCACATCCCCTGACGATTTCCTTTTCCTCTCCCCAGGGCACTTCTTAATTGGAAGACCACTGAATGCGCTGCCAGCTCGCACCTTGGAGAATGAAAAGGAACCACAATTAAAACGCTACGCACGCCTCGAGCAAATTAAACAACATTTCTGGCTGAGGTGGCAAAAGGAGTACATCTGCGAACTACAAATACGAACCAAATGAAGAACAAATAAGGCTAAACTGAAGGTTGGAGATTTGGTGCTTCTAAGTGAAGACTCTCTGCCACCGCTATGTTGGAGTACTGGACGAGTGGCCAAGCTGTACCCGGGGCCAGACGGGATTTCTCGCGTTGCGGATGTTCGGACCACTACGGGTTGTTATCGTCGCCCTCTGGTTTGCCTCTGCCCCTTGCTCAACGATTAAGACACACAGTTGAAGAATTAGATTCTTCAACGGGGGGAGTATGTTAAGACACGTCTGGCACTTTATTGCGTGGCAACTTTACAACCGCCCACATCGTGTGGTCCGTGACTAATTAGACGGTCATCGATGTGAAGTGATTTGTATAATCTGTGAGTTCAATAGACAATATAGTGAAGTGACAGAACGTTAGCTATATAAGGCAGTGATTTTACATTAAAACTACTTATTCTTACTCCCATTGTTCTTGTCGTCATACTCAGTATTTTGTGGCTAATCAAATACAGTAATCCAAAGGACGACATCTTTTATTTCACAATCTCTTCGAATACAATAATTCGTTTCGACAAAAATGAGACGAACAATCTTTGCGATATTAGTTTGATCTGCTCCAACATTTCGTTACTATTTTCACTTATTGCATTTGAAGAAACTATGTAAAATATTCCCTCAATGCCCGCTAACGAGTTATCTTCAGCTGGTAAATTAATAATGTTATTTGGATTAAATATATTTCCAGGAATTACTTGTACTTGTACTCCTTGTTTGGCCCAAGTTCTAGAAAATTCGTTTTCGTAAATAATTGCAATATTAAATAATAAATTATATAATTTATTATTGTAAATAATTATGTCAGTTACCGTAATTTTTGGGACAGACAATATGATGATCCAGTCGAAGAAACTAATATTATCTTTCTAGCCCCACGGTTCACTAGTCTGTCGACTAATTTTAATGCCAGCAATTCGTTCTCTGATATTACCAACTGTCGTAGTTAAGTAGAACAAGCTATTCTAAAAAAAAATAATAAATAATTAGTTTTATCGCTTTTAAATTTTAAGTAATATGACTGATGATAAAAAATAATTTTACTTTGTCTGAGCATAAGATAGATCCTTTTGTAAGTCGAGTAGTACACGTCCACGATGACGGCTTCCAGCTTGAAGACTATATGCACGTGTTACATCATGTGGGGAATATGTCACACGAGACAGTGGCCTGACGTATCTACGAGCAATACCTTAGGTGAGCATTAATTGTAACTTCTATAAAATTAATTTGACGTATTAAGTGACAATGTTCGATGCCTGCTTTCTGCTAAATTCACATCTTCAGGTTAGGTTATAGACGTAAAATAGATGAAATTGCCAACTTCATCTTATATCATTTATTTAATCTTTTATTACACCAAAAAAAATACAATTTAAAAAGAACAAAAATATGCAAAAATTTATTTCGGTGTAAGAGCGATCTTGTCAATTAAAGTGATCTCTTCCAGGCAAGGTACATATATCAGAAAGAAACTAGTAAGATTGCATGGATGGTTGGTGCAAAGAAGTCAGTCTATAACTTAGCTACTTAAAATGCATGTTTTTAATATTTTTTTAAAACTTACTGAAAAATGTTAAGATTTTTTTTAAACTTGATTTTTCATGTAATTTTACAATTAAAAGTGTTTTTAATGGAAATTCAAACGCCAATGACGTTTTTGACGATACGAACGATATAATGACGACGTCATTATATCGTTTTAGTAACGCCACCGCATGGCGAAATGATAAAACACATGTTTACGTTGTCAAAATCAAAAAAAATGTTATTGCATATTATAAGTTTTATTCGTTTTGAAATTATTTAATTGACGTAGAAAAATTGCTCTGATGATGGTGATGACCATGTGCACATGTACATGGTGACCCGAATATAAAAAAATATCACATATAAATACCAATCACAAGTCGTTTTATTTCGTTCAAAAATTTAACATTTTTTTTATTAATAATTACTAAAAATTGGAATATTTAATAACAAAAAATATTTAAATATATTTTAAATGTATTATTCTTTCATTTGTATATAAATTTGTGGCAAAAAAGTTAATGCAACTTCTCTATTATACACTAACTTACAAACTGTGTAACTGAAAATCATTGTAAATTACAGTAACAAAGTAATTTTCTTGAATTTATTTTAACTATAAGTTAATATGAACAATTTTGAATTATTATTTTATATCAAGAAAATATTTTCTTTACTTGTGCCTGTAAGTCCTCTTCTTCATCTCCCAACATTGACAATAAGTTCATGGTGGAGTATGATATTCCTTTTGCCAAATATTTCATGCTGAGGTCATAATTTTCTTTAGTCAATAATAAGGTTGTATCAATTACAGTACCAGATAGTCTGCAACACTGAATCGTGGTCTGAAATTATTTTGAAAAATGAATCGAAAAAGTATATAAATACTCTAGTAATGTGGCTATAAAATATGTTCTACATATTGTAAATAGGTAAAGAGAAAACAGTTCAGTGCCTTTTTCAACCGACTTCCTCAAAATGGAGGAGGTTCTCAATTTGACTGTATGTTTTAGATGAAGTCGGTGCCAGCCGATACAAAGCAAAGCACACCGACTTCGAAAATATTTGATTAGGTATTTATAGTAAATGAAAACTACCAATCAGTTATTTTTTACTTTTTAGTGCTTTTTGAAGTCGGTTTTTATTTTTTTGTTCCCTCTGTTTGCTAACCAGTTCTTTTTGCTTACTATCTATTGAATGAATAAAAAGTTTATAAAACGGTTATTTTGCTCTATAGATAAGTTAATTCTATTCATATATATTTTCCTCAAATTTTCAATGATAATTATGATCGAATTTCGACGACTGGGCTAAAACTACATAGTATGTTTATATAATGAGGTTTTTTAAAAAAAGATAAGTAGTCGCCACTGCTTTTACAAGTATTAAAAATTTCAATCATTTTGCTCATTTAATAAATCACAATTATTTGCAAAACAACTATAAATAAAAACAGTAAGTGTTATGGTAAATTGTATAAAATTATTATGGTAAATAGGGTGGAGCGAAAAAAAAATTTTTTTTCTTAGCTTGGAGGTAGAATTTGTAGCTTATAAGCCGGTACAAAATAATATTTTCAAAATAAAAAAGTTTTATTACTCAACATTTTGAGGTGGCCCACTGATTTTTAAAATAATTAATAAAAAAATTCGACTGGTCATCTTTGAAAACATTTTTGGTATATTATTATATTATTATTATTATATTTGGTATATTATAATTTTTGGTTTGAATGATATTTTTTTCGCGCGATCATTTTTGAAAGCATTTAAGAATTGACGAATATAGTCATTTCTATCCAACTTTCACTGTAATATTGAAATTATTGCAATTTTAAGAGAAGTTGAAAAAATGTCTAGTTACTTTTTTGTACTAGAGTGAAAATTAAGTAGAAAATGACTATATTCGTTAATTCTTAAATGCTTTCAAAAATGATCGCGCGAAAAAAATATCATTCAAACCAAAAATTTTAATTCATTATTTATTTTAAAAATCAGTGGCCATCTCAAAATATTGAGCAATTTTTTTATTTCAAAATATTTTTTTTATAAGCTACAAATTCACCCTAGTGAAAATATTATACCTGCAAGCATCAAACAAATTCATTCAATAGTTATGAAAAACAGATATTATCCAAACATCTTTATTAGAAAAACTTTCTTTATATTATAACTACTAGTGCTCTTAATATATATTAGAGAATTACTTACATTTTTAAAGGCATATTTAACACAACTTATGATTAAATTACAACCATCACCCTTTGTAGCGTGTAGCACCATATCTCGGAAACTTACATCACGTGAATTTCCAATATAACTTTCTGAAATAGGAATAATTGATTGTTTTTAGAGAATTTTCCTATTTTCATAAAATTATTTTGAAGAGCATCAATGGCCAATCATACCTTTGAGCTCTGGGAATCTCTTTTTCTTGATATCGCTCACAGTAGTAAAAACTTTGCAGCCATATGCCAAAGCAATCGATATAACTGCCTGGCCAAGAGCCCCAGCACCTCCATGTACAAAATTGTTATTCCAGGCTTGAGCTTTGCCTTAATACACTGCGGGTAAATATAAAATTAAAAGATGAAATTCACTGAAAATTTATATCACTACATAATTATAAAATAAAGTCCCCCGCCGCGTCTGCCTGTCTGTCTGTATGAATGGATTTTTATACTGTTTTCGCCAAAGAACGAAGTAATTCACGAGGAAGATTTAAGTGTATAACTTATTAAGGTTGTGTATAAATTGGCTGAAATATGACTTGATTGATATGAAATATGACTGACTTTCTCCCACATCTTCGCCATTCCGATGAATGTCATTTCAAATCATGCCGACTGGGAGTTTTACTGGTGTGTGCTCCGTAAACCAATATATATGAAAACAATATATTACGGAATTATTCCTCTTAAAAATATCTTTTGAAATATAGTAACGCTATATGTCCACATCTAGACGTATCCGAGGGAAGCGAGGGTAAGTTGCTACTTATCTATACTAATATTATAAACAGGCAAGGTTTAGTTTTTCTTGTTTGTTTGTACCGAATAGGCTCCAAAACTACGATCGATTTAGATGAAAGTTTGTAAGAAGATAGTTTGAGACCCTAGAAGGACATAGGATAGATTTTATCCTGGAAACCATCTCTAAAGGGGATTATAACGCAGGTAAAAGAAAAGTCGAATTTTAGATCTAGTCGGCTCGCGGCTCGTGATGAGTACAAAGTAAAAGTGGCGCGCTCTCGCGAAAACTAACGTAATCGGTTCACCCCCTGCGCCCGTGTCCCCTTCGCATTCATATCGTTCACACTCATTACAAACCGTTTACCATAACTTTAATAACATTTTTATACTTACTAAAAAACATAACAAAATAAAATATACAAATATAATACTTTTTATAATGCGTCGCTTACAATATCTCCACCCCAGTGCTACATCAGCACTCAACATCCATAGGTACTTTAGCGACGCGTGCTGCCGAACGTTGTAGCAAGCTGGTTTTGGTTTTTACTTCAACCACTCGTACCCGGCCATCCTTTCCGGGGATTACTCTTTGTATGATGCCTTTGGGCCAGGTATTTCTAGGGCTTTCGGGGTCAGCGATTAATACTAAGTCCCCGACTCTTAATGGTTCTGTGTCGCGGTTCCACTTCTGCCTGGGCAGCATAGTAGGTAGCACTTCTCTCACCCAGCGCCTCCAAAACATGTCAGCTAACCTCTGTGTTAGTCTCCACTGTTTTCGTAAATATAAGTCGGAATCATCAAAGACACCTACAATAGGTAGATTGGATGATGAACCTAACAAAAAATGATTAGGGGTTATTGTTTCATTACTATTGGGCTCAACCGTCACATGTGTAAGGGGTCGACTGTTAACTATTTGCTCAACCTCAGTCATTAACGTTATTAAGGTTTCTTCACGCGGCGCCCTTTCTCTTAAGACAACTTTTAATGAGTCTTTTACAGAACGAATGAGGCGCTCCCAAGCTCCACCCCAGTGAGGACTAGCTGGAGGAATGAAGGTCCATGTAGTTCCATAGTTGACGGCCTCAGCTTTTAATATATGTTCATCCAAGTCGAGCGTTGCCTTTTTCAGCTCGTTATCGGCACCTCTTAAATTCGTACCGTTATCTGAGTAAATAAATTGAGGCCAGCCTCGACGAGCAGCCATGCGTCTGAGGGCCATGATCAAGGAGTCCGTGGTCAACGAAGGTACTAGTTCTATATGAATAGCTCTTACGGTAAGGCATGTAAATAATACACCATATCTTTTCTCTCTGCGTCTTATTACAGTAATTTCCATTGGTCCAAATAGGTCTATACCACAATGTGTGAAAGGGCGACATCTGGATGCCATTCTGGCCGCAGGTAAATCACCCATTCTGGGTGGGCACGGTTGTGCTTTTCTTATTCTACAAAACATACACTGTGAAGCCACTCTTCTTACTGTCGGTCTTAATTTTAATATCCAATATTTCTGTTTCAGTTCATTAACAACAGCTTCATTGTGACCGTGCGCCGCTCTCACGTGGTAATATCGTGCAATAAGCCGGGCAACGTGATGACGTCCATCTAATATAACAGGTTGTTTCAGATGCAGAGGAACCTCGGTAGCTGCATTTATACGGCCTCCCACGCATAGGATTCCGTGCTCATTCAGAAAAGGAGATAAGGTAAGTAATCTACTTTTTTTATCTATTTCTTTTTTATTTTCCAGGTTGGCTATATCCCCAGGGAAGGACTGTAGCTGAGAGTATTTTATTAGCCATCGCTCAGCAGCCGCCCTTGTGTATCCATCAACGCTAGTATCCAGTTTCTTGCATTTATTAATAAAGGTAAGTACTTTACAGGTTGAATTCAATAGATGTAACCAAGATGAAAACCTTTCAGGATCAGGAACAGCTGGTAAGGATTTATTGTATGTTTGCATGGTCATAGTATATTCGAGATCCAGATGGGGCGTCTCCGGTAGCTGTGTGTCTACTGGCCATTCAGTATCTCGATCACGAAGAAACGCCGGACCATAAAACCACTCATTCTTTAACACAGATAAATCACAAGTCTCCTTGGTGGCGATATCCGCACTATTAAGTTTCGTAGGTATGTAACGCCACTCGTTTGGTTTTGACAATTCATCTATTTCTCCTAAGCGATGAGCGACAAACGCTGTATAATTGCGCATATTGTTTCGAATCCAATGAAGTACAACACTTGAGTCACACCAAAAATATCTTTCGTAAGGTTTATGTTTAAGTTCTTTACATAAAGTATCTGCTAATCTCACAGCAAGCAACGCAGCTTGTAATTCCATGCGAGGTATTGACTGATATTTAAGCGGAGCAACTTTGCATTTACTCGCGACGAACGTAACATAATAGCGATTATTCACTGTCCAACGCCAGTAAGCTACGGCGCACATTGCTTTAGTCGAAGCGTCACAAAATATATGTAGCTGTAGGTTTGTATAACATGAAGTTATCTGCCCGTTAGACGCGCACGCGAGAGATTCACTAATACAAGACACTGGCAACGGCGGCCGCTCGGGTGACGTATGCGTAATCGCATCGGAAGTGCAGCGTAGTTCCGTCTCGTTTACTCTTGCGGCCGTTACATAATGCCTTGGGATACGCAGCTGATTAATTTCTTTTAATAATTGTAGCCATTCAATCCATTTTTCATAAATAGTATCAGGTATTTTTTCATCCCAATCTAATTGTAATCTCCATACGTCTTGTAACATAATTTTTCCTTTGATTGTAAAAGGCGAAAGAAATCCAAATATATCGAAAATTGACATTAAAACTTTAAGCATCTGTCTCTTGCTAGGTCGCGTGTCGCCTGTTATTATATCTACAGGAATCTTCTTAAAAGAAACGTCAAAAGACAACAGATCTTCTTTCGGATACCAAATCAATCCAAGTGTACGTTCGCCCTCATTTGGCTGTTCAATTTTGAACCTTACTGCAGTCGTTCCTAAGGTCTCTTGTGGAATGCAGTTTAATACCGCTTCGTTGTTACTCGTTATGTTTCTTATCTCGAAGCCACCATTTTTATGTATATATATAATATCTTGTATAGTTTTAATAGCCGTAGCTTCATTTTCTATACTATCTATATAGTCATCCATATAGTGTTGCTTATGAATAGCGTCCACGGCGGCCGGGTATAATGACTCATACTGCTTTGCATTTTTATTTTTTATAAATTGAGCAATAAAGGGCGAGCAATTAGCACTAAAAATTAAAGACGTCATAGTGTATATATCAATAGGGCCATTTTGTTCTTGGTTGTCCCTCCAAAGAAATCTTAAAGCATCTTGATCTTTAGGTAAAATTTTTATTCTTAAATACATATCTCGTATATCTCCGGTTATGCCTATTTTATTCTCTCGAAATCTCAACATGATGCCAAATAATGCCATAAGTAGGTCCGGACCCTTCAGGAGGTAGTCATTTAACAAAACTCCACAGGTCCTTGCAGCGGCGTCGAAAACTAGACGTAATTTCTTTTTATTAGGGTTATCGACTCCAAAGTGCGGAAGGTACCAGGTTTTCGAGGTATCTTCTTGACAGGTAAGTTTTTTAGCATAGTCGTTCTCAAGTAAGTGGTTTATTCTTTCAGTGTATCTTCTAGCATAAGCTTTATCTGTCTTCAGTCTCTTCTGTACTCCTTTTAATCTTAGTGCGGCGTTAGGGTACGAGTTTGGTAGTTTACAGTTATGATCTTTCCAGGGTAAACCGACATGCCATCTTCCATTTTTAAGTACAGATGTTTTTTCTAAATATTGTATAGCTTGAAGATCTTCTGGATTTTTCCTGGGTCTCATGCTGATGCCCATTGATTCGATTGTAAATGATATTCGTATTTGTTCTTCTAAATTTCGTAACTTATTTTCATATTCTCTATCTGAATCGTTAGTAATGAATAACGCTGAATGATGTACTCGCTTAATGGGCGGGGTCTGGTGGAGCGGGGATAGTTCGCGTAAACATCCATGAATGCATAAGCCTAACTCAGTACGTGTAACATATAATTTACTATTTTTTAATTTTATTATTTGAAGCGGTAACAATAAATCATAATTATCTTGACCAATTAATATTTTAGGTTTACAGAGTTCATTATTTAAACAATTTTTTATGTCAGGTATAGAATGTACATAGTTAGTAAGATCAATCGACGTTGAATCATGTACAGGTAGGTTTAAGTCTTTTACACTTCTCACGCGAATAGGAAACATAGTTCCGTCTTTGTTTGATACGCTTAAGTCTACTATCTCACAAACACATTCTAATGAGTTATTGTTCCATGCACCACTCACACGCATAATTTGTTTATGTCCATTTAGTCCGAGTTTTTTTACAAGTTCATAATCTATTAACGATACGGTCGACCCGTCGTCTAGCAAAGCGGTAGCACTAATTACACCGTTTGGCCCATGAATATTGATAGGCACGGTTTTCAAAAACACTTTACAGTTAGATAAATTAATGTTCGTCACTGTTGCACTTTCTGTTATTTCCGTAATGTTTATATTACCCGGGGAACGAATATCTTTTGTTATAGGATAATGTAATAACCGATGATGCGACTGTCCACAGTTCTCGATATCACACGGCGCGGCCGGACATGTATCTCGATCGTGACGCGATAGTAAACACTTATAACAGATGCCGTGTCGTTTAACGTGACGCCACCGATCTTTTCGTAGTGATTTTTTAAAGCGCTTGCACTCTGTTAGCTTATGTTTAGAAACACGGCAGTATAAACACTTAAAGTCATGATTGTCTGTTGTCACTAGCACCGTATTATGTACGCGGTTGAAGTTATTGCCGATGAGATGAATATTAGATGTCGTCGAGATTTTCACCGCTTCTTCTTGTAAGAAATCTGCTAAAATATCCAATCGTGACTTCTTGCCCTCGGTGATAAGCGGGAAACTATAGTCTGACCATTTTGAGAGTAGGACTGTAGGTAATTTAGACAAAATGAGCGACACTATATTCATTCCTTGTAGATATTCATCGCGTTTGACGGATCTAATGGCTTCTATGAAGTTCTGTACTTTTACTGAGAATGAAACAATATCCTTCTGATAATCTTGTGAAATTGGGTACAGTTTTTTAATATCTTGCATAATCTTAATCACAATGCCGTCGGGGTTACCGAATCGTAGCTCTAATGTAGCCATTATTTTCTCAGGTTCCGTGGCACTGATTAAGAGGGCTGCGACAGCATCCCTGGCGGGTCCACGAAGACACTTACGTATTCTCCACAGGTTTTCTTTAGAGCTGAAATTACACACTTCCGTTGACTCTTCATATGCTTGTTTAAACTGCAGCCATTCCATGGGGTCGCCGGAGAAAGCAGGTAAGTCTCGAGGCGTGCTTAAGCGGCTCAGTAATTTAGCGTTAGAAGTAGTATTGTTGGAGGAGGCGGCGAGATCCCTTAGTGCACTAGCCAGCATCTGGACTGTTCCATGTGAAGTTCCAGGGTGAACTGACCCTGGGTGATGCAGCTCGCCTAAATCATTACCATGCTCGTTGACTGGCTGCACCTTTTCCATTTATTGCTGACTGCGTTCTAACCACCTGTTCACCGTACTATGTGAGTAATTATCTCGAGGTTCACTTTGCTCATCTTCTAAATCTGCTAAGTCGGTTGCCAACCTCTTGTCAATTAATTCCATCAGTATTTTAGCCTTAGCTTCTGCAGCTAATAATTCCAGCTTAGCTTTTCGAGCCTTTATAGAAGAAGATGTAGATTTTTTAGATTCACTTTTTTTTGATGTGGGTGATTCAACGGGCGTGTCATCTACTTTTTTACACTTTTCAGGTAACAATGCTTTATTATCTAGGTTTCTTCTTATATTTTCCTTCTTAATCAACGTATTATTTTCAGACTCTTCAGCTGTCTGCACGTTTGGCTGGTAAGTTGATGGTTGGCTGGTCGACGCTTCCATATGTTTCGACATTTCGCGTTCTTTACGCACTGTACTTCGCGTGTTGACCATTGTAGATGATGGAGGTGTGGTGAACATAGATATAACAGTATAATTCGGCTCGAAGACCACTTTATAACGCAGGTAAAAGAAAAGTCGAATTTTAGATCTAGTCGGCTCGCGGCTCGTGATGAGTACAAAGTAAAAGTGGCGCGCTCTCGCGAAAACTAACGTAATCGGTTCACCCCCTGCGCCCGCGTCCCCTTCGCATTCATATCGTTCACACTCATTACAAACCGTTTACCATAACTTTAATAACATTTTTATACTTACTAAAAAACATAACAAAATAAAATATACAAATATAATACTTTTTATAATGCGTCGCTTACAGGGATGAAAATGGGGATGAAAGTTTGTATGGGGAAACAACCTAAGGACGAGCTCGAGTGAAGCGATGGTGAGTCTCTAATGCTATATAATTTAAAATAATTAAAAATTTTGGGATCGATATTATAAATTAGTACCAGGCAATATAGAACCAAAAATAGTATTAAATAATACATAGCTATAAGAACAAAAAAAAACAAATATGTCATTACAGACGTATGTATATTTATAAAACTTATAAAGTAATTTATTTAGAAATCTTAAAATGCTATGAACATTTTCTATATGTTTAATTTTTAGGTTTATATGTATAAAATATTTAACAAAAAAACTTACAAGTAAATTATTCGTATGGTATTCAGCTGAAGAATACTTGGCTAATGGCTCATCCCATCTATTCATAGGTACTGAAGAAGACACCCAACGTTTACTACGAGGTTTTGGGGATTTGATCACTTTTCTCAACATTTCAAGAAGACTAGGACCTGTTATTTTAAATTATCTTAATTTGCTTACTTATTTGCTTAGATTTCTAAAACAGCTTGATTTGATTAATTACTTAAGCTTAAATGGATAAACACCCATGTTATAAATTTAGATTATTTTCACAATTATTATTATATCGCATATTTTATATTACTTAATAATTTCATATGTTCAATTAACTAATTTCAAAAAATCTTAACTTTTTGGTATGTTTAGCTCTATAATCATAAACATACCTGCTTTAGCAATATAATGAGAATGATAAGCAATATTTGAACACGGTACTTCTCTGGCGAAAACACCTTAACTAATAATACTTTCTTAGATTTACGCGAATATTTGACATACATTTGACCGCATTCAACGTAGGGCGGCTCGAGTTATCGACGATCAAGCTCTCTCCGATCGGCTTGATCCGTTAGCTCTGCGTAGAGATGTTGGATCACTCTGCATCTTCTACCGCATTTATCACGGGGAGTGTTCCGAGGAATTGTTCGGACTGATCCCGGCTGCTGAATTTCATCATCGGACATCGCGCCAAAATATTAAATTCCATCCACACCACCTCGATGTCCAGCGTTCCACAACAGTGCGATTTTTAAGACATTTTCTGCCCCACACAACCACTCTGTGGAACCAGCTATCGCCGGCGGTCTTTCCGAACCGCTACGACTTGGCTACCTTCAAGAAGAGAGCGTATTCTTTCCTTAAAGGCCGGCAACGCATCTGCAAGCCCTGCGGTGTTGCAGATGTCCATGGGCGGCGATGATCACTTTCCATCAGGTGAGCCTCCTGCCCGTTTGCCCCCTTAGTCCCATAAAAAAAATTAAATAAAACTATCTTTTCGGATTTTGTCGCGGATTTATTTGCATTTTTGTTTCCCGACGTTTCGAATGCTTTACAGCAATCATGGTCACGGGAGAGACTGAGGTGTTAGACGTCTCTAAGGTATTATATAGTTGTTACAGACAGCCTACCCACAATTAACAAAATTAATTCAAAAAATTGAAAAATGGCACTAAAGTACCTTACAATATTTTAACTTTTAACTTTAAATATTTTTATATAATTTAAATTAGCTTTATAATTGAATATAGAATATTATTTATTTAATTTGAGCTGTTATTATTATAATTATTACAATTATTCATTTTTAATATACATTTTTAGTGTTGCCATTATTATATTTATAACCAAAAAGAAAAAATCATAATATATTAATTATTTAAGCCACAATTCATCTATGTGTAATTTGAAAAAGTTAAGATGAATTAAAAATAATAATTTTTAATTTAAATTTGCTATTATTTAAAAAACAAATTATTAAGCAACAAAAGCGAAAAAGTGAAAAAAATATTATTAATCAGAAATGCTATCATTTTGATCTACACAGTAAGAACTTACTACATCTACCTGTCTGTTATATTTAGATTTATTATTAGATTTTATTATATTTATAACAGGATCCCATGACGATGGTAGTACCCAGCCATCTTCCCTATTGAAATTAGCATGTTTTTTAATTTCTCTGATCTCTTTGTCTGGGGCTGGTCACAGTTTGACGATCTATAAAAAATGAAAAGGGCTTTATTTATCCTTCATTCAAAATAATGTTCCTATAAAATTTCGGTAAAGATGCCACTTGAAAGAAAACAATATTTGTGGACTAAAGATAGATATATATTAGAGGAATTTCAAACCTGTTGATATCCGAGGCCAACCGCGGCCATGGCTCCTGTTGAAGCACCATTAAGCTATTTTAAGTTAATTAAGTAACATAACCAACATAATGCTCTTTTTTTCTATCAGGCGTCGTTATATACTGTCATTATAGCACAGACGGTGATTTTAAATTTTTCTTTCTCAATAAATCGAAAGACTGCGTGCTGTTCGGTCATCAAAGTTAATTTTTTCATTTAAAAATCCCAGTAAAACCCCCCTTTACGCGCACATGGTCCTTCGAGCCGGATTATTATAATTTTCTTTGGAAATATAGGGATTTAAAGAATATTATCTGGAATTTTATAAAATTATAAAACTGAGCAACGTGTCCAAAAGAAGTGATTCAACCTACACGTTTTGGATGAAGAAAAGTGGCTTGGACTTTAGAGTGATTTAATTTAATAAAACAAATTGTTTTTAAGCGTTAAATAAAATTTATTTCACCCAACACTCGGTAATATTCTAGGTAAAAACTTAATGACCAATATGAAGACTGTATAAGGTTAGTAAAATATGTTTTAATGTAATATTTACAAGTTATTCTTATTTTATTTAAAACTACTACAATTTAAAACGTATTAATTAGTTATTTACATTTTTTTTTAACGTTGGGAAATGCATTCACGCACGAGGTGTGGGACTCACCGGCAAAGCCAGTACTACCCACTAAAACCCAACAAAGCCTTCCCCCGTCTTAATGGGGCGTCGCAGGATCGCTTACGCATTCAACTACGACGCCCCGACGGCAGGTCTGCCGAAGCAGACCACAACAACCACGGGGTTGCTCCAAGGTCCACTCTGCTATCAGAGAAGTACCAGGAGCAACCCGCATGGTACACCGCCCTTCGAAGAGGGCCACCTCCCACCGCCCACCGAAGTGGGCCACCTCCCTGTGCGTTTCTTGGCTTCGCGCCCGGTTGGGTTGCCGGGCACTACTGAGCCCCCCCACCACGACAAGGTGAACGCACATTGGGGGGGAGTTATTTACATTGCATTAGGTTGATTTCATAATCATTATTGTATAATATAGTTAATCAGTACTTCATTATGACATTACAGTAATATTAATATTACATTAGTTAACTATTCAGATTTAATACAATATTTAATGTTAAACCTTAAAATTATTATCATTGTAAGTAGTTATCATTGTAGATAGAATTGTAAAATAAGTCACTTAAATATACTAGTCTTAAGTCTGTCATACAACAGCAAAATTATAAGCGCAGTGCTTTCAAAAGTTAAATTAAATTATATTTATTTAGTGATTAATGCTCATTGTCATAAGAATATTGTTATAAAGATATTTGTTACATTATTTAGCGTTCTGTTGTAAAATTCCAGGTTGACGACACCTGCCTTCCAAAATGACCGACATAAAAGATTTAAAAAAGAAACGTGGCAGTTATAAGGGAAGAATTATTTCATTTGCAACCTATTTAGGTCTTTTAATAGGTTTCGAGTTAATCCCTTGTCAGGCAATGGAGTTACAGTTACGTATCGGTAAGTTAGAAAATTTATATGACGAATTTAACGAAATTCAATTACAATTAGAATGTTTATGTGAAAATCTTGATGTTGAATCTATTGAAAGAACTACTGTAGAATCTCAGTATTACAACTTAGTCGCTCAGGCAAAAATTATGTTAAATAATTATTCTAAATTAGAAAAGGATGATGTAAAATCTAGCCACAGTAGTTCAAAGCATCAACTAGTCAAGTTACCTACCATTTCATTACCAAAATTCTCAGGATCTTACGTTAACTGGCTTGAATTTCGCGATACCTTTACTAGTCTTATTCATGATAATGACGATATGGACGAAATTAACAAATTTCATTATTTGCGATCATCATTGGAAGGTTCGGCTGCCATAGTAATTAAAGCAATTGAGTTCTCCGCCCGAAACTACACAGTTGCATGGGAACTTCTTTGTGAACGTTTCGATAACAAACGCTTATTAATTAATAATCACGTCACGGCGTTGTTTGATATCGAATCGATTACGAAAGAATCCTCAATTGCATTGAAACACACAATCGACAATGTAAACAAAAATATTAGAGCATTAAGTTCATTAGGCGAGCCTGTTCACAGTTGGGATACTCTTCTAATATATATCATTAGTAAAAAATTAGATTTTAAAACATTTAGAGAGTGGGAGGAGTTTAAAGGGCGCTTTGATAACATTAAATCAATTTCATTTCAACAGTTCATGGGTTTTCTGCGTAACCGTGCTGACCTACTAGAAACAGTTGAACTATCACGCCCCTCTTCCAGTAATGGTTTCCACAGAAAAAATATTTTTTTCATTAGCACACTGTTGTCCAAAGCGTAGAGGCGATCATAACTTAAATTCATGTCCACAGTTCTTAGCACTGAGTGTTAGCGATAGAATTTTATTATTGCAAAATTACAAGATTTGTTTTAATTGTTTTCGTCATGGTCACTATCTAAATTCTTGCAAAAAACCAGGTTGTAAAATTTGCAAGCGCAAACACCACACGCTTATTCACAATAATGATTATAAAAGCCATCCCGTTGTAAACAAATCAGGTGAATGTACAATCGGCAAGGCCAAGGTCAAGTCATCTTCCATCGCTACTGACAACGGAGACAACGCGCATGTTGCACTATCGGCTAACATCTCGGCGCACTCGCATACAAGCTCCTCGAGCGACGTCCTTCTGTCGACTGCGTTAATTAAATGTTAGGATGTAAATAATAAAGAACACATCGCACGCGCCCTTCTTGATTCCGGTAGTTCGTCTTGTCTAATGACAGAACGATTATTTAAAAAATTAAATTTACCATATTTAAAGATAAAAAAGTCTATTCAAGGAATTAATAATTCACTATCTCCTGTAAGAAAAATGTGCCGAGTTCACGTCGAATCGTTACACGAACCTTATGTTGATGATTTAATATGTTTTGTCTTGCCTACTATTACCGATAACGTTCCCGCTAGACAGGTACATATAGATATTCCTTCGAATATACAGTTAGCCGATCCGTACTTTCACTCGCCAGCTTCCATTGATATTATAATTGGAGCTGACGTATTTTGGAGCTTGTTAGGCTCTGATAAAATTATATTAGGTGATAGGAAACCAACATTACAATAAACTAGACTTGGTTGGCTAGTTTGTGGCCCAGTTAACGGCGGCTATAATATGTTGTCATCTCATTTCTCACCAATACAATGTAACTTTACAAACTTTAAAAGTAACCGTTCTTCTAGTTCTCTTGAGTTAGATGACATACAAAACCAACTTACGCGTTTTAGACAGCTTGAAGAAATTTGTCATCAGTTATCAACTTATTCATTTAAAGAGAAGACATGCGAAGAACACTTTATTAATAACACTACGCGTTTGCCAGACGGCTGTTTTAATGTTAGAATCCCGCTTAAGGAACCTTCAAGTCGTCTTGGTGATTCATTTCATCGTGCAAAACGCTGTTTTCTGTCATTAGAGCGCAGAAATTTAAAGCAACCTCCACTCGACAAAATGTACAAGGATTTTATGTCTGAGTATATTTCTTAAGGTCACATGTCCGAGTGTCATATTAATGCAAACCAAACGTCATATTTCATTCCGCATCATGATGTCTTGCGTAAAAGTAGTATTACTACAAAATTAAAGTAGTTAGTTCCTTCAATTTCCAGCATCTAATATTGTTTTCTGGACTAATTCTATGATTGTTTTGGGCTGGTTAAAAATGTTACCAATTAAATTAAATACTTTTGTTCGGAATCGTGTTTCCGAAATATTAGAAGAAACCAATCAACCATCTAACAATTGAAGGCATGTCCCTACAGACGATAATCCCGCGGATTTGATATCTCGTGGAGTAGAACCTTCCGCCATGCAAGCATTGGATTTATGGTGGTTTGGTCCATCCTTTTTACGATAGGATATTAGTAGACTGCCATGCATGCCTACGGATTCAGTGAACCTACCTGAAATTAAGTCAAATATTTGCCTTGTAGCGAGTGACGCTAATCATAATTTAGATAAAGGATTAATTAATTTTGAACGTTTTTCAAATCTTACGCGGTTACAACGTAGTATTTGTTATGTGTTACGCTTTATTAAAACATGCAAAACCCGTTCTACATTTACGTCTAACTTTACTGCTGAAGAATTTAAACTCTTTAAACATAATTATAATTCAGTCGCAAAAGGAATCTTTTCCCGAATATAATTTATTAATAAATAAACAAAAACTACCATATAAAAATCAATTATTAAAATTTAATGTTTTTCTCGATGATAACAAAATAATCCGTATAGGGGGAAGATTACATAATTCTGACTATTCATTCGAGAAAAAACACCCTATATTATTACAGTCCACTCATCATTTTGTCAAACTTTTATTCAGACATGAGCATATCAAGTTAATGCACGCTGGACCTCAACTATTATTAAGTACCATTAGGCAAACCTATTGGCCGCTAGGCGGTCGTAATTTAGCTAGGGCTTGCTACCGTCAGTGCGTTCGATGTCAACGTTTGAAAGGACAGACAGTTGTTCCCCAAATGGGTAATTTGCCAATGAGCAGGCTTTCACCAGCTGACTTTACTTTTCAAAACGTTGGGTTCGACTAAGCAGGACCCATTTCGTCAGCTAGTCGTCAAGGTCGCGGATGTAAAATAGTAAAGGTATATATAGTTATATTCGTGTGCTTTACTACGAAGGCCATTCATTTGGAATTGGTGGGTGACTTGACTAGCAGTAATTATTTACAGGCATTACGCAGGTTTATGTCTCGAAGGGGAAAACCGCTTAATCTTTTTTCCGACAATGGTTCGTCGTTTGTAGGAGCCTACAATGAAATTTCTAATTTTTTAAAACTTAACTGTGACTCCTTAGCTGAAGACGTTGCCCAACATGGAATTAAGTTCCATTTTATTCCTGCCTATGCTCCACATTTCGGTGGACTTTGGGAGGTAGGTGTTAAGTCGGTCAAATACCATTTAATTAGAGTGTTGGGAAATTGTAATCTCACGTACGAGGAGCTTAACTCCGTACTAATTCAAATTGAAAGTATTTTAAATTCGCGGCCACTTACGCCCTTATCTACGGACCCTGACGACGTGCTTCCGTTGACTGCTGGACATTTTTTGATTGGACGGCCACTTACTTCACTTCCAGTCGAGGATCTGCGAGAACCTTCTAGCAGTCGCCTGAGTCATTTTCAGCGAATTGAGCAAATGAGACAGCATTTTTGGATCAGGTGGAGCAAAGAGTATGTATCCGAGCTGCAGCCACGTGTGAAATGGTACACGTCCAAAGACTCATTGAAACTCAACTCACTTGTTGTTGTCAAAGAAGACAACCTGCCGCCATTAAAGTGGAGGATGGGAAGAATTGTTGCTCTTCATCCCGGCACGGATAATATCAGCAGGGTTGCAGATATTAAGACTGCCAATGGAGTCATACGAAGAGCCTGTTCAAGAATTTGTCCCTTACTGGAAGATTCCTGTTGAAAGGCAGGCTTTCAACGGCCGGGGGCATGTTGAAGCACCATTAAGCTATTTTAAGTTAATTAAGTAACATAACCAACGTAATGCTCTTTTTTTCTATCAGGCGTCGTTATATATTGTCATTATAGCACAGACGGTGATTTTAAATTTTTCTTTCTCAATAAATCGTAAGACTGCGTGCTGTTCGGTCATCAAAGTTATTTTTTTCATTTAAAAATCCCAGTAAAACCCCCCTATACGCGCACAGCTCCATGTATAAGAGGCGTCTCTAAAGACACTTGACCGCGGCAGCTTGCTGCTAAAATCATTTCCTCTGCGGTAAAGCAGCCATCTGCCGTATAACATTATATTCATTTATTCATATTGAAAAATTAACAAAATTTGTCTTTTTTTTGTAATTTACATAAAATAGAATAATGGTAACAAACGAGAAAAAAAATATGTGCAAAATTCAGGAAGCTCCTACAGATTTTCGTTGATAGCAAGAAGGGCCTTGGCTTCATCTAAAAGTTCTTTCGATATTGTTTCTGAGGTGTTTCTCAAACTTGATATATACATGATATATGATGGATCAGAAGTGTACAATAAGGTATGGAACACGTCTTCATTGGTAGCCACTCTTGAACACTTTCTAGAATAATGAAGTCTAAACTTTTTGTAATCGTTATTTCGGGAAACATGCGCGTCTTCGGACAATTGTTCGATAGGTAAAATAGCATAGTACTCAAAGATTTTTTTCTCTATGAATAAGTATTTTATGCACGGACGAAGGCATATAATACCAATTATAAATATTTACGTACAGTTGGGCAGTACTATATGCGTATTCACCGAACTTTTTTGAATTAATAGCCACTCCAGATGACATAGTTTGTAGTATTATGTACATCCGTTTTATAAATTCTACGTCTACACCTGTAATGTCTGCAGAGCAAGATTAATTCTGAAAAATTCGTTCACATCTCGTGTACTAACTGCCTCTAAGTTATTCATTTGCTGAGGAGTAGCACCACAAACTGTACAAGAAGCGCTCGAACGAGTCTTAGTTAAAACTTGTGCCACTTTACCATCAATCATGGTTAAAAATAAGTCATGAGTAATTTCGTTTACCTCACCATTCTTATTTATCAGGGAGGGAGACAGATTTTGTTTTTGATTGTTGATAACAGCCACAACAAACGCGGTTTTTTCAGGAGTTTCTTTGGCAAATTCTAACAATACAGGTCTGCAATATCTTACAGATGAGCAAGTTTCATTCATCCAAACAACAGTATTAGTTGTCTCATCTATGAGTCTAATGGGTACAAGTGAAGCAATAAAAAGGTTTGCATCTGATATTACATCGCTTTCTTCGGGCAAAACTTGCTTGTATTCACTCTGTCCTGCTGACTCATCACAACCCCATTTACAGAATAGTTTCAACTTTCTTAAACTGTTTTCGTAAACTGAATCAATTATTAATATACGTGCCACAGTATGATCCAACAAGTCCTGCAGATTGACTTTTGCACTTATGTTAGTAATGGTTATGCTCGAATCTGGTGGGCAACACATCTTCTTGGCTTCGACTAAAGTTGGATAAGAAGGAAACATTGAGCAGTTTTTGTCCACCAAACAAAGTCGAAGTTTCCCATACTGTTCTTTGTTAAGATCTAAGTCAATAAAGGTCAAAAGTTATTGAGACTTAAAGTTACAACATTTCCATACATTATTATGACATTCCTGCCATTTTGATACTTGGAAATGTAAAAATGTCGCTTCCAAATGCAAAAAATGATCTTCAAATAATGAGTCAGATCTATCACCGGATTTTAAATTAACATAAAGCACTAATGATAGTAGGGGTTCTGGTGTTGACATAAAAAAAGACCTAACAAGAAGGCTAAGGCGGGAGCGAAGCGTAGCCTTCTTAACCTACGTTATCCAAGTCGGATTGCCACTTAATCGAAAATAAATAATACACTTAGATAAAAAATAGTCTCTTATGTTTATAAACTGCATGAGTACACTTAAAACACTGATGATGATGTTCTCCTGACCGATTCCGGCCACGGCGGCCAATCTCATTGAGATTAGCCAGTCGGCTAACCAGTGCACCTGTGTCTGCGCGTACACTTGTGCACTATAATATCTCCTTATTCATCCATCCATATTATAGTGCACAAGTGTACGCGCAGACACAGGTGCACTCTCTATTCCTGTCACTCTCATACTCTAGTGGGACGACTTCTCGACACGACCAGTGAGAGTTAAGGCGCAGGACCGACGGCTTTACGTGCTCTTCGAAGCACGGGGGTGAAACACCGCCAACTTCCCAACTCCGGGCTGTCACTGAGGCTTACTATACAAAAAGACTCAATAACTAAACTTGGCCCGACCCGGGACTCGAACCCAGGACCTTAGGGTGTGCAGCCGTACATGCTAGCCACTACACCACCGAGGCAGTTAAATTTAAAACTATAGTAATACTATTAAAACAAAAGACTTGAAACGAACGTATACGAAAATTAACAAAAACTAATTACTACTGGAAAACAATATGAGAAAAATAACTATGAAAAAGAGAAAAAATAAAACTTAAACGCCTTTAATGAGTATAGATCATATTCACAGACACTATGAAACTTCGTGATATTTTGTGACTACCCTCCAAAAATACTGAAAAGTATTCACAGATAATAAAATCAAGTAATGGTTTAAAATTTTTTGCTAAATGTAAATAGATTATATAACTCAAAATTTTAGATAAATCAAATAAAAATGACTAAATGTATGTATGAATTTAAAATAACATATTTCTATTTTAGAATCTTAGTAATCTGACGACAATTTTCACTTTTAATATGCATAACTCTTAAATAATTATTAAGCAGTAATCTGTTATGTCCTGAAAACGGTACATAAAACAGAAATTCACATTTTTGTCAAAATATAAGATTATTGTGTTTAGGTTATTGTTTTTAGTGAAATTATCAAAATATTAAAGCAATAAAACTTTAATTGTTATGAAAATATGGATTTTACACGAAAAAATATGTTTATTTTTGTAATGACTTATTTAGGTGTAGAAATGTATGAAAATGTTCTAACTTTAAGTCTCAATAACTTTTGACTCCTTCGTTTCCTCAAAATAATTTTTATATATTTGAACTCCCTATCACCTCCCCTACCAAAACTACTACTCACTTCTCCAGGGGCCGCGTCCCATACACTAATTTAGTATAGTGAGATGTATGTATATCTATACATATAATAAAGTTGTAACTAAGTCGAATCTGTACATTAAATATTTTTTGAAAAATCTTATTGAAATGAACATCATTATCGATACAGACCGAATCTATAGTTTTAAAAAAATATCTATCTGTGTGTTACCGCATCACAGAAAAACTACTGGAGGGATTTTGATGAAATTTAGTATGGTGATAGCTGGTTACCCGGGTCATCATATAGGACATTTTACCGCGTGAAAATCTCTCATTTCTGAGAAAAAATGCAAAACTGCAATGTAAGAGTATACTAATATGTAAAACCTAAGAATTTGGTTTCTGATCATCTGAATGGGGGCGGAGCCGCGGGCAATGCTAGTTCAAGATATATATTCCGATATTTCTATAAACACAACACGTGTTTTACATCGATAAATATAAAAATTATTACAAGTGTGTGTCTGTAATCAAAAATTACAAGTTAAATTTGACCTACTTCCAATTGTCCGATTGAGCTGAAATTTGGCAAACATGTTTGATTCTCGTGACTGCACAACTTACTAAATACCACCATTTTTAATCTAATACGGACGGACGTTACAAAATGGCGATTTATTATTTCCATAGTGACCCGTATGATATGGGTATCAAATGAAAGGGCTGGATGAGCGAAACACAATAAGCAAAGTGACGTCATTATAAAATTTAATATGGCGGACTGTTTATTTTGCATCGCCATGATAAAGATATCAAATGAAAAGGTTTGCCGAGAAGAATACGAAAAAAAGTAAGAAACAATAAAAAAAGGTAAAACATCAAAAAAATAAGCTTTATTTAAATGCTCTTAACAACAAAGGAGCTTAACTTCTTACGTGCGTACGTACATAAGTATATACAACTTTTTTTCAATAAAATCTGTTTCTTGTGTTTTTTTATTAACTTTTCATTGAAATGAACTTGGTATTAATGCTCTTCAACGTAATTAAATGAACTGTATTTTAGAAATTTTGAAAATCAGCCCCTAAGTGGGTAAAACTGGGCTGAGAAGTTGGAGTTGTTGAATATATTTAAACACAGCAACATTTTTCAAGTTCTCCGTAAGTGCACACTTATTGTGTGGAATATAAAGAAGAGAACGGAAATTATTCCGAATTCAAAGGAAAATTATGTATACCTTCTCAGCGAGAGAGACAGAATGCAGCTAGAGATTACCCTGTTATTTATATCCTCCTTCTGAAGGTTGGTACAACTGTAATGAAAGAGTCACCTAAGCTATGTAATGGGATTAAACTGTGAGTAATTCATTAATCATCATAGTGGTCACTGTGTTTGCTGGATGTGCTCGAGGGGAATCAGAATTCATACCTCGAATACCATTGATAACTTCTAACTACGCCTTTGAATTTAATCTATCGTAAATCCTTCTTAAAGCTTGCTTTGCAATGACCATTAATATATCTCAGGGCCAGTCGTTAAAAGTAGCAGACGTAGACTTAAGTGAGGATAGCTTCTCATCTCGGGGGAGAAGCCCATTTCTACCGGGCGCGTCCCCAGGTGGCAGATAGGGGAATGCCACCCGCTTAGGGCGGCGGGTGGTACCGGAGAAATCCGGCACGGACCAAATGGCTTGGGTGGGGCCGCTCGTCTAGGCCTCGAGCCGAAGACGTTGCGGCCACCGGTGGTGGGACCGCTTGGTCCCACAACCGGATGATGGGTGCCGGTTGCGGTACTGTGGTCGCAGGCCCGCATCCGGCGGGAGGGTAGGCCGCGGCGGGAGAGGAGTGCCGGTATTTCGGTGCGCCGTTCTCCCTACCTTCCGCGGCCTAGACGGGGCCGCCACTGTTGGATGGCGGACGCGGTGGGGCTGCAGGGGAAGAGGAGTATCGGTGTTTCGTTGCCGCTCTCCCTGTCCTCTACAGCCGATTGGAGGTGGCTCACTTCGGTGGGCGGAGGTTTGGTTTAATGGGGCTGCTCCGGGTACCTCTCTGGTGTAGCAGAGTTGACTGTGGAGCAGCCCCATCGGTGTGGTGGTCAGCCGTTGGCAGACCTGCCGCCGGGGCGCCGTAGTAGTTATGCGCAAGCGATCTTGCGGCGTCCCATTAAGGCGGAGGGGAGGGGAATGTTGGGTTTTAGTGGGTAGTACCGGCTCTTCCAGCCGGTGGGCCTACATCACCACCTGGGGGATCAGGTGGTAGGCGTAAATGCATTTCCCGACATTAAAAAAAAAAAACCAGAACTAGACAGAACATCCATAAGTGTGGTATATTTGTGGTTGGTTTTTTTAACCTAATTTAAGTAAATTTAGAGTAGACTAAGATAAGTGAATCTAGAATTTTCATTCTAGACATAATATTAAAAATTCGATATGACAACATAAAAATTCTGTAAAAATAAAAACTAAGCTAATTAAACCACGCGAGTGTAGCTGCGGGCAAAAACCTATCTAATATATTATTTACCCTGTTTAAAAATATGAAATAGTTTATTGAAACAAAATGAGGCGAGATGATCATTACCAGTAGTCCAACGTAGGTTGTTGGCGGCGGGAAAGGTGACAGTTACGTATAGGAGTTGCCACTAAAAAAATCCTCTTATCGTTAAACATCCAACAAGGCTGAAGCGTGAAGACGATATTACACTATGTTAACTAACAAATCGCGTTGAATGAAGCTGTTCACATAATTGTAATCGATCTTCAGTTACAGGTAAGTTCATTTGATTTTCAAATATACTTTACTTAACGTAACTTACAAATAGTTAAAGAATTATTATCATTTTTATTATTTTCAACAAAATTGTAAAGAGTAAAAAAGGTACCTTTTTCAACCGACTTCAAAAAGGAGGAGGTTCTCAATTCGACTGTTTCTTTTTATGTTTGTTACCTCAGAACTTCGTCATTTATTAACCGATTTGGACAATATTTCGTTTGAAAGGGAATACTTCCAGATTGGTCCCATTTAAATTTCAAAAAAAAATACCACTCCTAAGGGTGGAAAAATAACTAATGATGAATTTAACCTACTTCTAATTGTCATATTGACTTGAAACTTTGCAAGTATTTCTATTTCCGTTGATAGTACAGTGGTTCGGTGTTGTTGACCTGATCTGATGGCAAGGCCAGAAGGTGGATAGGTGGAACTCTTCAACGGCTAATAGTAGATATTTTGAGTTTGGGCTTATTTTGTTTGATTTGACAAGCCTAACACGTTAGAATCCTTACTTTGCTACTACTGTCTACACTAAAAAGGGAAAAATAAAAACTTTTTAACAAAAAAATAAAAACCGACTTCAAACAATTTTTTGCAATTTTTTTCAAACAATTTGCTTTGTATGGGCTGGCACCGATTTCGAAAATATTTGATTAGGTATGTATTTAATAGGTAG